CGTTTATTTATTGCTCGGATGCTAATTTCGCTTTGTTCGTCTGCTTTATCGTTTTGGGAGGCGTCGAAAGATGTTTTTCCGTGCGTTATTTTATCATGTCAGTTTTTCTTTATCAAGTGTTCCCCATGTATAAATCTTTATTTTTGTTTTTTCCCCCTGTCTCATCCTTCACACGCCCTCTGCCCCCCGTCTCAAATTCTCTGGACGTGACGCGTTTTTATGCAGATGCATTCGGATACAAGTTATGCGAACGATATCGACATTTCAACGTCCGAACCATCGCGAATCGTAAGTTAGCGATTTAGAGGAGAATGATTCTGTTGGGAATGCGCTTTTGGGCTTTGTATCATCCTCCCCAAACGCATTGTTCGAAATCTTTTCCTTTTGAAATGCCTCGCTATTTATTATCGAAAGAAGCGGAAAAGGGAGAAAGGAGGATCCCTAGCAAGAATAAACTCATATAAGTAAAACCTTTTGGAGACGTTGAGCAAGTGTGTAATTTTTGCCTTTTATATATATTGTTTTTTTTCAGTTCAGTTGAGGCTTTTGTGTCGGTGACGGGTTTAAGAGTCAGTTTTATTGTTGCTTATTTGATTAAGACCTGGCGCTGCGGTGTCTGGGCCTTGTACTCAACTTAGTAAATTAGTAAACCCTTTTCTGGAAGTCGTCAAGCACGCAGGCAAAGGAAGGAGGGGAGAGGGGGTGCGGGGAAGGGGTGGACCTTGAACTTGCTTGAAAGAAAACGCGACGAAGGGCGTCTGCTTTCCGATTTCTGGCGGCGTATTTCGGCGGGCTTGACCTTTTTTCCCGCGGGAAGACGACGCGGAGGAGGCGATGAGGGCTTGGGCGAGGGTGGAGGAAGAGGGGGGGGGGGTTAATGTTCATAGGTCGCTCTTAAACGATTTAATTTTGCGTTTGAGATAAGCTCTTTGTTCCCCAAGGCACGGGCACTCGCGGCGCAGCTTGGTTGCAGTTGAGAAAAAAGGAAGGGGAAATAGAAAGGGCAAGGAAGGAAGAGAAGGAGATAGAGATAAAGATCAAGATGAAGGCCAGGATAAGAGTCATCTTTACGGCCTTCCGTATGGGATTTAAGGGATCAATAGTTCCCTAGTTTGTACTGAAGGGGGGGGGGGAGGTCACGTGATGTTAGGTCGGGAAAGAGGGGGGGGGGGGCAGGAGCTTCGTTCGGGGATCACAGTTTGGATTAAGTTTTGGGGGAAATATAGATTGTTTTATGGATATGAATCCCATAAAGGGGCGCTAGAAAGGGGGTCGGGGGACGGGTGGGGGGTGCGAGTTGGGGTAGGGACGGGAGGTGAGTTTCCTGTTGTGGAAAACGAGAGAGGCTGGTGCTTGGGGTCGCTGCGTTTGTGCGGAATGTGTTTTGTTTGGCTTGGTTTTGTTACGCCTGAACTTGTGCAGCGTACTGTGGTCACCTTTCCCCCTTTCTCTCTCTCTCTCTTTCTCTTTCTCTTTCTTTCTCTTTCTGTGTAGCGTTTTCTTTCTTATTCTCGTTCGTTTTGTCTCTTTCCCTGATAGTTTCCCGGCCTCCTCCTAAGTGTCCTTCCGTCTACCCAAGGCCCGCGATCCCCTCCCCCATCCCTTCCCCAGTACCCCTCTCCCCCCTTTCTGCGAGTCCCACCATCTCTCGTGAAGGAAAATGACAGCCAATAAGACTTGACTCTTAAGGGCACCCCAGATTGGCCAAGACGCCCACCGTCGAGAGGGAACTTAATTGTTTTATTGCTTCCATTCTCGTAGGTTCGTCACCCCGTCAGTTCTCTCCCCCTTCCTCTCGCCCTCACCTCCTCCCCCTCCCCCCCTTTGTGACAGCGACGGATCGTAATAGGCTCGCTCGCCGGCTGTCGCTGTCTTGTCGGCCTGTTGTCGTTTTGACGTGCTCGCTCTTGTCTCCGTGTCGTGCTCCGTCAGTCGGTTGTTAGCTGCTGCTTTATCTTAAGTGTCGTATTCGTTTATGTCTATCGCGGCGCATTTATCTATCTCGGTTGTTTGTCTGTTGTTGCGGTTGTCCTCTTTGAGTCTGGTTGAGCAGGTTGATGGGTGGTAGATGTATGTTGTGTGTCCATGAGGTTTGTTTTGAGATAGGGGCGAGGAACAAAGTGAAAAGTCCGTCTCGTTTGACTCCTAGTTCGATCCTTTATTACTATTATAGCACTAACTGACCCACGGCATCTTCTTTCCCTTTGTTTTTTTCTTCTTTGATGACCTGTCCCACCTGCATGGCCATGTCCTCTTCCACCTCTGAATCCATCCATTCCTCCATCCACACTTACCTCGTCCTCCTCCTGATAATAATTTTCTTTTCCTCCTCATCCTTTTTCAGCATTTTTCTTTTCCTTATCCTCCTCCTCCTCCTCGTCCTGCACTTTCTCCTCTTCCCCTTACTCCTCAACGTTCTCTTTGTCTTCTTCCCCTCCCACTCCCTTTCCTTCCTTCTCCTCCTTGTGCCTGTAGTAATAATTATCGAAAAGAAAGTTGTTCGCAGCCGCAAGAAATTCCCTTTGGCACGAACATATTTTTTTGCCAAGAAGATCGAGGAAAATAAACTGAAATAAGACAAAAGAAAAAGAGATAACGACCTTATAGAATCGGTAGTTGATCCTATTTTTTGCCACATTTTTTCTTTCTTTTTCTTTTAATTCTCATTTTCAAAGACTTGAGGAGCAGTAGTAACGTGCAAGCCCCAAGTTAGTTGCAGAGAATTTTGGTTTTCGGAAAAGTCCGATTGTATAACAAATTCTCTCTCTCTCTCTCTCTCTCTCTCTCTCTCTCTCTCTCTCTCTCTCTCTCTCTCTCTCTCTCTCTCTCTCTCTCTCTCTCTCTCTCTCTCTCTCTCTCTCTCTCTCTCTCTCATTCTCTCTCTCATTCTCTCTCTCATTCTCTCTCTCATTCTCTCTCTCTCTCTCTTTCTCTATTTCTTTCTCTCTTTCTCTCCCTCCCTCCCTCCTTTCCTTTTTTTGCGGAGGGAATGCGTCTTGAGAGCAAGTTGAGGGGAAATAGGAATTAGAAGAGAGGGAAGGGGCCGTTGTGGGTCCCTGGAGGTCAACTGAGGTTAAAAGAATACCTTTTCTACTCTTACGCTTTTTTCCCTTCCTCCGGGATCGACTCAGAGAGATCAAATTTTCCCCTGACTTTGCAAGTGTTCCGGGGATAATAGGAACGAGAAATAGTGCAGAAAAATTCAGTAGACACGCAAGAAAGAGGAGAGAGAAGAGCGGAGGAGGAACAGAAACAAGAAAAAGAGAAAATATTTAAACGAGAAGTGAGTAAAAAAAAATATGAAGAAATGGGAGGTGGTAAGGTCGCGGTGGCAGAGGGCAGTATATAGTGTTAGATGTATGGACTCCTTTATGGGCACCACCTCGCAGGGTGATAATTGAGACGCCACAAGAGGGAAAGACCGGGATTAGGAGAGAGGGAGGGAAAGGGAGGGAGAGGAGGGGAAGGGCGAAAGAAGAGAACAGAATATGGTGGTCGAGCTTGTAAGCGTAATCTTCGAAAAAATACGACGAGAGAAAGACCAAGAAAGAAGGGAAGGGGGTGAGATCCGTTGCGGGCGTGCGGGCGGTGGAAAAGGGAGATGGGAAGTCCAGAGAAAAGTGAGAGGCAGGGAAGAGGGGCGCTTGGCTATCTCATGTGTTTATGGCATGTCATTGATTCGCGCGTAGTTTATATGGGCGTGTAAGAGGTTTTCGGGCGGTTATGGGCGGGTAATAGCTTTTCTTGGGGCCTTCAATGAAGGAAGACGGGAAGGAAGGATGGATGGAGGAGAACCGAATGGGGTGGTATGAGGAGTGTGGGAGAAGAAAGAGCATGGAGGAGAATAAAGGAGAGAGGTTGAAAGGAGTGACACGCTAACGGAAGGACTTTCTAGGAACGAGCGTAGGACGTCAGGGGGGAAGCGAAAATTAGGACTCCTCTGCAGCACATCATCTTTACGCTCCCTCCGCCCCCAGCAGCCAACCGCGGCTGCTGCTACTGCCGCTGCTGTGCTCGGGTATGAATTTCCCTTGCAGGGACTCCGGCTCGGCGCGGCGCGGCGGGTAGATCTCCCTTGATTTATATGGACACGTGACCTGCATTTTCTAAACTGTGATCGAACATTTTTCCCTGTTCGGGGAATTTTTCCGGCTGTTTTTCTTTTCTTTTTTTTCCTTTTCCTTTTTTAATACTTGCTTTTGCGGTGTTTTTTGGGAGCCCTTTAGAGGAGGGTTCCAGTGACATTTTTTAGCGGTTAGCGATCATTTTCTGGCTGTTTGGATGCCGTCGCCCGCTTTTTTTTGTCCCCTGGGGCAGTTTAGGGCTACGGTTTTTATTTGCGGTTTGGAGAGTAATTAAACCATGTTCGATGCCTTTTGTATTTTTTCGGATAATCAGTTTCGTGTTTCGTGACGGAACCCCCATTTAATTTGGTGGAATCGCTTAATTCGCTTTCGTTTTCTGTACTCTCTTTCTCTTTATCTCTCTTTCATTCTCTCATTCTCTCTCTCTCTCTCTCTCTCTCTCTCTCTCTCTCTCTCTCCCTCTCCCTCTCCCTCCCTCCCTCCCTCCCTCCCTCCCTCCCTCCCACCCACTCTTCCTTCCTCGCTCCCTCCCCCTCCTCATCTTTCCCGTTTTCTGTCCCTTTTCCTCCCTCCGCCCCCCTTCGCCTCCCCCCCGCCTCCCCTTCCTCTCCCTGGCTCGCACGGATCCGCACGTGAGTTGATCGCCTTCTTGACATTTATTGTAAAGATGTTTACGGTTTGCGGTTTGCTGCCGTTCGCTCGTTTGCGTTCGCGTGCGCGTCTTTGTTCGCGGGGCTTTCGGCCTGCATTGTGCCTCGCCTAATCAGTGGCATTGCGCTATTGATTGCTATTGACGCTATCGGCTTTGTCCGCAATGTCTGAGGACGGAGAGGTAATCGGACGCCTTTTGTCTGGTACTTGATTAGTATTCCATTTATGAATTGATTACTTACCCGAAATTCTTTATCTTTGCAGGTTATGGTGTTGAGGTGGTGATGGCGGGTGTGGTGAGCGCCGGGGGCAGCAGCAGCAAGGGGCGACGCCCCCTGGGTGCCCCCCACGGGACCAGCAGCAGCGGCTCCCCCAGGTCCTGCTCCTTCCCCGTTGGCGGCGGCGGCGGCCTGCCGTCGCGCGCATTCATGCGGCCTTCACTGCTCGCGCTCTGTCTACTGACCGCTCTCGCTCTCGCCTCAGCGGAACAAGGTAAGCCACGGGAAGACATGTCCCAGAAACCTGATCTCCCTCGCCTTTCGTTACTCTTATTTCTACTCCTCAAGCTATTGTGGCTTGGCTTAATAGTTTCCATTTTCGTTGAAATCGGAGAATCATCGTTGGTAATATCTTTGCTCATTTTGGAGGGAAAATGACGTTCAAGATTTTATTTCCTGCATTTGTCTCTTCCTCGCTTTATGGCGTTGCACCAGGATTCGTGGTCGGTATTCCCATGTTTTCTCTTCTTCATCTCTGCATATTATTTTTCTAATTCTTCCACAACTCTTCAGGATGCTTGATCTCGTGTCCCTCCTCCTCGTTTAGTTGCAGGCGTCGTCTTCTTAGGCTGTCATTTTTGTTGCAAAAGAAAAGTGAGTAAGAGTTTAGGGTTAAGGGTCAGGAGGAGGAGGAGGAGGAGGGAAGGGGTACTGGTCGACTAGAATTGCCCAATATGACGCACGATTGGTTAGCTGAGTGATTCTCTTTTCTTTCTCTTGATTTCTCTTTCTTTTTCTATTGTGTTGAGCAAGACAAGATTCTGCATCATCAGAAAGGAAAGTTGACATTCCGTCCCTTTCTCCATTTTTTCTTCTTTCCTCTCATCCTCTCTCTCCCTTCCTCCTTCCTCTCTCCCTCTCTCCTCCTCCTCCTCCTCCTCTTCCTCTTCCTCCACCTCCACCTCCCTTTCTCTCCTTCCCTTTCTCTCTTTCCCTTTCTCTTCGTGTTCTCAATTAAATCCTGGAGAGCGAGGGGCCTGATTGGCACTGTTGATCAAGTGTGCCGGACGAGTCACGTGGGGATCCGAGTCTACTTTCTCCTTCACTCTTTCGCTCTCTTGGACGAAGACGAATAGCAAAGTAAATGGAAAAGGCAGGGCAAAGGAGAAAGGGAAAAGGAAAGGGAAAAAGCAGTAGGTTAGGAAAAAGGGAGTGCATAGGTGGTTGAAAGAGCAGAGGGTAAAGGAAGGCAGGAAGGAAGATGGTAATGATATAGGATATAACACCACCAAACAGAAATGGCAGTATAGAGGAGAAGAAGGAAAGGAAGGAGTGGAAAGAAAGAAGGGAAGCAAAGCGGAAGGGAGGGACAAGGAAGGCGGAGGGGCGAGTGCAGCGTGGGAAAAGGGAGGGGGCGTGAGAAGCGCGCAGTTTACGCCGAAAGCCTCCAAATCTCGAAGGTCGCTCGCCTTGGACGGGCACTCGGCTCGGCCAGGCTTTGTATCGCCGGCATAACGCGGTTGATAAACATGTTACACCGAAATTGGATAGGTGTGAATCCGCCGTGAAATTGTCGGCATGAGGAAGGATGAGTGATGTTTGTAGCATGCGGACGGGAGGGCGAGGTTTGCGTCAAATGTGCGAGCATAACGACAAGGAAATGAATACGTCAAAAGGAAATGAGTCTGATACTCAGGCTAAGAGCGGACAGGAGGGAAGGTGGGGGTGGGGACTGCGGCGAAATGTTGATATATTTGAAAGAGTGAGGAGGAAGGAGGGAGTGTGGGAATCAAGATGCAAGAATATCATCATGAAGGGGGAATAAGGAGAGAGAGATGAGAAAAAAAGAAAAGAAAGGTAAAGTAAGACTGAGCAGTGGAAACGAAAACGACGGCTAGGAAACGAGGGAGTCGGTGGCAGGAGGAGAAAGGGAGAAATGGCAGGAGGTCAGTAGCCACAGTCATCAGGGATTTGCATGGAACTCCGAACCAGCTCTTTCTCCCAAGCCTTCTCTCTCTCGCCGAAGCTCTTGGTAAGTCAGGGAGCTTCAACCTTAGGCTTCAGCCCATCCCCCCCTCCGTCCACCTCCCCAACCCTTCTGCCCGCCTTGAGGCCAGCTATTTTCCTGCCTTTTGTTGAACTGATTGACAGGTACATTATTCAGAAAATTATTCACGCGTGAGTGAACGTCCTTTTTTTCATTTTTCTTTCATTTTTATCTCTCCTTTTCTCTGTTTCCTCTCTCTCTCTCTCTCTCTCTCTCTCTCTCTCTCTCTCTCTCTCTCTCTCTCTCTCTCTCTCTCTCTCTCTCTCTCTCTCTCTCTCTCTCTTCCTCCTTCCTCCTCCTTCCTCCCTCCCTCCCTCCCTCCCTCCCTCCCTCCTCCTTTCCATTTCCTTTTCCCTTTCCTTGTTCCTCCCCCTCCTTCCTCCTCCTCTCCTCCTCTCCTCCTCCTTCTTCCTCCTTCCTCCTCCTCCTCCTTCCTCCTTCCTCCTCCTTCCTCCTCCTTCCTCCTCCTTCCTCCTCCTTCCTCCTCCTTCCTCCTCCTTCGCCGCCTCCCCCTCCCCCTCCTCCGTTGATAATGCTGTTCCTGCTATTCGTAGCTGTCACTCTGTGGCCTCAACACTTGCAATACCTTAATGCAAGATTGCACTTTGCACGGCGCCGTAGGAAGGAGGAGGATAATGCGAAGTGAAGGTCGTTTATATATTTTTATTATTTTTCTTTTTGTTGTGGTGCTGATGGTTGGAAGGTGTTTTGGATTATCATGATGTGATGATAATGATGGTGGTGATGGTGATGGCGAGGCAATAATGATGCGTTAGTGACAAGGGTGATGAAAGGGAGTGTTGAAGTGCGATGAATGAGAGAAAATTGGTGAAATAACTCTGCAGTGTTGATTATGATGATTAGGATAATGGTCGTTGGCGATGAATAAAGAGTGGTTAGCACGGGGCTGATAATAACGAGGATGATGACACCGGGGAATCGTACAGGGATTAGTTGACAAGACAGAATGGCGGCTCTCACAATAAGCACGGATGGAAATGCAACTAGAGGAAAGGATAATTACTCAGGGGAGGTAAGGGAGGGCGGCCCAGCGTGACTCATCTCTCTTCTCCCATTCTTGCCCTTGCCTTCCCCCTCCCCTTCCCCTTCCCCTTTCCTCCTCCTCCCAGCCCTCCCCTTCTCTTATCCTTCCTCCATATCCTTACTTCCCCCTCTCTCCCATTACCCTTTCACCCTCTCCCCCCCTTCCCCCTCCCCCTCCGCCTTTCTCCTCGGGTCCTAAATCTGCAGGAGGTGCGTTATTACTGCCTAAGAGCGTGGGAACTTTGCCTTGGTGTTTATCCTAACTTGGATTACCTGCTGTGCACCAGGGTCGTTGTGTGCTACATGCCTCGCGTAGCCCGGCTGGCGAAGGCCCCTGCTCCTCGCTCTGGTCGGCGTAGGCCTAATGCCCCAAGTTGTATGCTGCTGCTGCGCTGGAAATCTGGAAGAGATGGGGGGGGGGGCGTGAAGGAAAGGGCCAGGGGGAGAGGGGGAAAGGGAGAAGGGGAAGAGGGAAATGAAGCGGGGAAGGGGGAGAGGGAGAGGGGCTTGAACACGTGGTCGAGCATCAGGCGCTCAAGGTGAGATGTGGAAATGATGGTTAAATGTGTCCCAGGTGGGGCCGCTTCGCTTCGGGAGGGTCTTCATCGATGGAGTCTGTATTAGCGTTATTGCTCTACTGCGGTGATATTGGTGTTATTTTAGGAGTTTACTGTACTGGAATTAGTCGAAAGAATACGTAAGATCATATGAGCTTCACATTTTTAATTTAATTTGATTTTATTTATCTTCTACTTTGGTTCTCACCGTCTGTTGTTTCTTCACCATTTCCAGTTGGTCTTTTCTGCTTCATCGTCTTGCCTTTAGGTTCTCTTTTTTCTTCGTTTCCTTGTTCATCATCGCCAGACGTCCTGGGTGGCCGGTAGGCGGGCGGTGGGTGGTCAGGAGGAGGAGGGGCGGGGCTGCCCCGATCACGTCCTGCCGTCTTTTTCTGATTCCACGGCACGAAAGAGAGGGAGACAGACAGAGAAAGAGAGAGCGAGGGGGAGACAGACAGACAGAGAAAGAGAGAGCGAGAGAAAGAGAGAGAGCAGGGGGGGGGGGGGGGGGGACGAAATGATGATGATGGAAAAATGTTAATATCACAGTGCGTGTCTAGAGGGAAGAGGGGAACAAAAACAAATAGAGAAAGAAACGAAGGAGTCGGAAGAATGTCATAAGGTTATGAATTAGTCAAGCTCCTTTGTCAGGTCGTGTAATGAACATAATTTTTTCTATTTCATTATCGTATTTTGAGCGAGGATTTGCATTAGGCGAAATGACGAGGCAGGCTGGCAGATGGTATTTTAAGGGGGGGGGGGGATGGTGATGTAGATAGTGCTGATGATGTCGCTTTGTGCAGAAGTGTGACGGGGGAGATGGGAGAACTGGAGAGTAAATAGATGGTGGATGGTGTACAAGGAATGAAGAGGTGGTGAGAAGAAGCGGAATATGAGATTTACGAAAGAGAGAGAAAAAGAGAGGGGGAGGGGAGAAAGAGGGAGAGAGTTTTGGATAAAAAGGGAAAATAAAAAATAAAAGGAGACAAAAGATCGAACATTTCTGGGGGCTTCAGTCACAGCGTAATATTTCCTGTCCCTTTTTTCGCCCTTCTTACTTCTTAGTCGAATCTATTTCCTCTTACCTTAGGCAGCGCTGAACATCTCACTCAACTATTCTTCTTTTGTACGTGCGTGTATGCGAGCTATGTAATCGCTCTTGGCCTCCTCCTCCTCCTCCTCCTCCTCCTCCTCCTCCTCCTCCTCCTCCTCCTCCTCCCGTCTCCCTTCTCCCTTCTCCCTCCTCCTTCCTCCTCCTTCCTCCTCCTCCTCCTTCCTCCTCCTCCTCCTTCCTCCTCCTCCTTCCTCCTCCTCCTTCCCTCCCTCCCCGCTTTATAGATCTTGCGGCATAACTTTCTTTTCACGCTTTTCCGGGTAGATGAAGAGAGGGCGTAGACTATGGGCCACGACGGGCGGGCGGAATGGGAGGGGTGGTGAGGGCGCGTCGCATAAAAACGCCCGTGCCCCGACGCCCGTGCCCTTGCGCCGTGCCCAGCTCTTCCCTCCATCACGCCCGCGTCGCCATATCCATCTTCGGGGATTCGTCGAAACGTCTCGGCGACGCATAACGCAGACAAAGGGAAGATGAATCGAGGGTGAAAGTCCGGGCGAGGTTGTGTTCGGCGC